CTGAACCAGAGCCGGCAGCAGCTAGCGGGGCCGAGCCGATTGGCTCTGCTCTTCTGGAGCAAGCGGCGACTTCACATCTCTTCATCAGTTCCCCAGCCCCTGCCACTGACTGGGCGAGCCCCAGCAGCAAGCAGAGGTCTCCGCGCATGGCTAGCGAACGCCGAGTTCAGAAGCGCGAGTGTCGACAGTTATCGGGAGCAACTAGAAACCAACTGCTTCAGATGCTTCAGGATGTTCAATACTGTGATACTGAACGACTGATCAGCGCCCTGCCATCAGATACGCTGGCCGCGCAGTGCTGTCAGGCTTGGTGCTAAGTCTCCGAGGATGCCTGATGGCACATGCGACCAGCAGAGCACCTAGGGGCACGCGGAGAGCGCGGCGCTGCGGGCTGACTCCCGGCCGCAGCGGTAGCGCTCTGGAGGATGCCATGGAGCGCGGATAGACTTGTGACTCCACGACTCTTGCCTTCACGCACAGCAGCACTTTACCATCAGCCGTGCGCGAACGGCGTTAAAAAAAGGTGCCGCATGGAGAGCAAGATCAGTGGACCAAGGGGAAGCGCCTTAATGGCCTATTCCATCGGCCAGGAGAGGCCGGTGACTAGTGACAAGGCGCCTTACACGACATACCACGACTTGCTTCACCACACAGCACATATTAACCCACAAGCTGCGAACAAGAGAAATCTTATTCTATCATTGGAGCGCCTCCTGCAGTCTGCCCTCTTTTTCCTTAGGAAGCACTCAGCTTCTTGCGGGTGTCTTACTCAGAGGAACCCCAGTTTCCGTCTCTCATGATGCTGTGGATCAAGAACTGCTTTTTAGTTTTTTTATTTATTTGATCCAAGATGAAACACAGAACTTTGGATGTTTTAAACTCATACGAGCCCACCACCCCATGGGTAGTGGAAAGTGAGTCCACACCACCCGCACTAAACCCAAGCTGTGTTTAGCATGTTAGAGACTGCTCGACCGAGACGCACACCCTATGCTCTAGCCCCATGTCTCTCGAAAGAGGCAAGGCAGAATAAGTTCTCAGAACTGCTGACCTGAGGTCGTAGACCCCCAGGCCGGGGCAGCCAATATCCCGAAGAGGTTGACTGGTTGAACCAGTTTGGCCCCGTTGCGGGCCAAACACGAACAATCGCCACAACCACCCAACAATCCAACAGTGCTGAGACGCTATGTGGCGACACTTAACGACAGATATGAGAGTAGGCCGAAGGCTTGTACCGCACACTTCACATCGAAAGGACTTTCTCCAGCCCGACCCCCTCCCCCAAGTGGACTCGATCTGCTTGATGACATCGCCGTCCGCTGCCGCTACGTCGCGCGCGCCTCGCACATTTCCAAGCACACCTGTACCAGCGTGTAAGCCACACTCATGAGACGTGCGATGAACCTCATGTGAGAGACTTGTATCTCCTTAGGAGCAGAGCCCATGAGAAGAAATCGTCACCGATTCCTGACGGGACGGCACAGAACACTACATGCTACTACGATGGCCCAAACACAGGCTGGAAGCTAACACAGGCAACAGCAGGCAAACAGCCGGCAACAGCGAGTAATCCTTTAGAACACCGCCTCCCACCTGCTGCTACGAAGCTCTCGACGCCTCGCTGATGCCAGCTCCCGAATGTCCTCACCAGAGACTCTGTGCATAGGACAACATCAACCCATACTCAACCCGCCACAAATTCCGAAGGACATATATGTAGTTACTTAATGACCAGAAAATAGCACCAGTCCCGGTGAACAAATCGTGAGTGAACGGTCGAAAAGGCATCGCGCGAAAAGCCATTTTGCCGCACAACGATCAAGCAAGCGTGGAAGGTTTTCAACAGCTCAACCCGCCCGGATAAAAAAGTGATCACAACAAAGCAGTGGTGTGGCGCCGCCAGACTCTCCGCCCTCCTGAAGCTGTTGCACAGACCTGACAAGCGTATGGCCGCTCTGACCCATCTCTCCTGGAGGCGGGGTGGCTTCTTCTCCTCCTGAC